TTCTGGCTTGAGTTATCTGGCTCACTGAAAAATCCTGCTTTGCAAAGCACCCTTTGGTTTGCCATCTAATTAGCCGGATAACTTAAGCCTAAAGTGAGGATTGGCCATAATGCAGTCCTGCCAAGGTCTGGCAAGTGTGCATTAAGTTAATTTCCAATTTCAACTTTCCACAGCAAAAGAGTTAAAATTACCATTCTCCCTTGTCGAATCAGCCAGGCGGAGTGAGGAGGGGGAATGAAAGGGATAAAACCTGTTTTGTGTTGCTGTCAATTTGCAGTCTCTTGAAATGACTGACATTACACATTTATCATCCCATCCAATTGAGCCAGCGGGGCAAATCTGCATAATGCATAATGCCCTCTCTTAAATTTTCTCCTATCGGACAGGCTTGACCTTTGGCTTCAGTTAATTGACTAAAAAAATATTGCTTTTTGGACTATCCCCTAGTCTGCCACCAAAAGTTAGCTGGATAACTGAAGCCCAAAATGAGGACTGTCCAATAGAGTTTTTCAGCACTGCAGAAGGCAAGATTTCATAATTAACTGGATAACCTAAGCCCAAATTCAGGATTGTCCAAATGGAGTGTCCTTTCCCTCTCCTATTGGACAGGCTTGAGTTTCCTGCATAACTGAAAATCTTGCTTTGTGAAGTTGCCATGTAAAGTTAGCAGGATAACCTAAACCCAAAGTGAGTACTGACCATAATGCCCTTCCTTATCTCTTACCCTATTGGCTTAGGTCAGGGTGCCCAGTCCTGGTCCTGGAGATCTACCACCCTTCAGAATTTAGCTCCAACCCTAATCTAACTCACCTGATCCAGGTAAGGCCTTCTGAGGGGCATCTGGCTATATGAGTCAGGTGTGTTGGATCTGAACTCTCCAGGGTGGTAGATCTCCAGGACCAGGATTGAGCACCCCTGGCTTAGGTTATGTGGCTAACTGAAGAATACACTGCTTTGTGAAGTACCTCCCTACTGAGTAATCCCTTGCCAAACCCCAACTTCACTGAAGTGACCACAACTGAAAAGGCCCTAAGTCCTGCATCAAGGGAGTCATCCTGCTTGGCCTCGTCTTGATCCTCCCTTGTGTGATCGCAGCTGTTGCAAGGGTGTTTTCACAAAGGCTCCCGGTGCCAAATGCAAACCCCTGACCGCTTCAAACCTTGATTTGTCCTGAAGTAGTCCTACCTTGCACATTTCAGTCTTTTCCTGCTCTAACATGCCCACTTCAACTCAGGAAATGCTTGTTAAATTAGTTGGATCAGGTGAGAGCAGGGAAAACACCAAAATATGCAGGTCAGATGATACTCCTGGACCAAGAGTTGGGAACCACATGGATAACAGGACGGAGATTTGGTAGGAAAATAATGGCTTGAAGCACAACATACCCTAACACTTGCCACTAAAGAGTGCAGAAGTGCTGAGAGGTTTATTTGACAGGTCAGCGGTGCCTGGCTGACTCCACCAGTTAGCGGAACCCATTCAGACTTTTAACAGGAAAGCATAGGTGGAAAAGGTAAATAAGAGCGAGTCTGGAGAACACATTAAATGCAGATTTGTGCATTATTTGAGGGGGAAGATTGGTAACACTCTACTAAAGGGCAGTGTTTATAAGGGTATCTATTGGGATCATTCTATCGAAAACTGTGGTCCCATAGTAAAAAAACTAGATACAAAACAATGAAATATTCAGAGCTTAGTTATTTACAAGGATTATGTTATGGTCTATTTAAACCTAATGCATTAATTAAGAGAGTAATAAACTAACTATACACACAGTCATCATTTATATGGTACTTTCTATTAGTTGTCCCAAACCCTAACCCCTAAATTCCACCTCATTAATATAACACTTCATTTTTTTTGCTTCACACCTACATCAGCTAGTTGGACATCCCATTCTAAAACCATGGGCATTAATATGGAATTGCCCCCCCTTTGCAGCTATAACAGCCTCCACTCTTTTGTGAAAGCTTTCCACAAGATTTTGGAGTGTGCCTTTGGGAATTTGGCCTTTTCAGTCAAAAGAGCATTTGGGAGGTCAACCACTGATGTAGGACAAGAAGGCCTGAGTGGCAATTGACATCTTAATTCATCCCAAACGAGTTCAGTGGGGTTGAGGTCAGGGCTCTGTGCAAGCCACTGGAGTTACTGCACACCAAACTCATCAAGCCATGTCTTTATGGGGGTCGCTTTGTGCACAGGGACTCAGTCATGCTGGAACGGGAAAAGGTCTTCCCCACACTGCTGCCACAAACTTGGTAGCATATAATTGTCTAAAAAGTCTTTGTCTGCTGCATTAACATTAGCCTTCACTGGAACTAAGGGGCCCAAACCCTTTTAAACAGCCCCAGCCCATTATCCCTCAGACTGACTTGTGGAAAGATGGCACCCTGTAACAGCGACAGTCACTGAGCTCTTCAGTACGACCCATTCTACTGGCAGTGCTTGCATGGCTGTGCACTTGATTATATATCACTCTTAGCAGTGAGTGTGGCTAAACCACCTGAACTTAACAATTAGGAGGTGTGTCCACATACTTTTGGCCATATAGTGGACAGGGGGCTTCAAATTCAGTTGTTATTTCACACACACCAAATTAAATCATCCACCTGACATAAATTTTATGTCAAGTTGATATCAAAGTTGGCGAAAGCAACCTTTATGACAAACGGTGCCGACTGGAATGAGTGCTTATAAATGTTCATGTAGTTTTATGTTAATAGTCATAAAATGCTTATAGGTGATGTAGCTTTAAGAACACTGCCTAACCATAAATTGTTACCAAAGAAACTCTGGCAGGTCAGTGAGTTTAGAATACTTGTGAGGGGTTAGTTAGGGATTCAGCAATGTCTTGTTTACTGAAGCAGTAGGTATGAATGTTTTTTGAGCACTTCAGCTCCTCCAGACAGCAATTACAGTAACCTTTAAATATCTGAAGCTAAAACCAATGGCTCTTAGAAACATTGCTTCAAGTCCCAGTCTGCTTTGCTAAACAACTTAAAGACTTAAATGACAAATAGGACATCAAATGCTTAAGGGTGCTGCGGAATAGACAATAGTTTGAGCACTGTCAACACACAACGGGCCTCATTCACCAATATATTCCTAAGTGTTTTCTTAAATCTGTTCTTGAGAAAACTCTTAAGAAAAGTCTACGTCAGATTCATGACGTGTTCTTAAAGAACTGCAGAATTGTTTGCACCATTGTGCTCTTGAGTGTGTGTAAATTCTGTTCTCAACTAAGAACGAAACACAAATAAGAAAACATTGGTGTATATCAGTGTGGCATGCGCCCGTCCTCTGGGCCGCGCCTCCTGCCGGCTCTTGCGGCCATCGTCGGGGCCCGGGGGGCGGGTGGATGGCACAGTCAGAATCTTCATAAAACTGTGTAACTGGGTTTTAAGAACAATTTTTCTCTTAAGAACAGTTGGTGAATGAGGCCTGTTGTTATTATTGATCACACATGTATCTGGTTAAAGGAGGGGGAAGCCTGAGTCATCCCTGATTCAACTTTTAGTTAATTAGTAGATTTAGTATTAGTATTAGAGAAGGGAAACCACCCGAGGCTGCTAATACAGTAGGCCCAGGTCTGGTCCTGAAGTGCCAACATCCAGCAAAGTTCTGGGACTATTAAGTATTGAGACAAATGTATTAAGTTTACTGTGCTGGGAAACAAAATGTCAAACCAAGACCATTCAAGACCTTTCAAAAGGTGGCTTTTGAGTTTCAGATTGTTCTTGTTTGAATTATTTCTTTGCAGACTTCTGCAAGTTTGCATCTGAAATGCCTTTGTACACCTCTTAGTTCATAAGCCCGTAAATGAACACAAGCTCAGTGACACCACTGTAACAAAAACAGCCCCACACTTTGTGCCTGGTAGGAATTTGTCTAAAATGTCCCAATACTTTGAGTATCTGCTTAACCTGGAAATGAGATGCATTTTTGATGACCTCAAATATGGCAGCATGGTCATAATGCCCTCAAAGAATGGCAGCATGATAATAATGCCCTCAATAATGGCAGCATGGTCATAATGCCCTCAATAATGGCAGCATGGTCATAATACCATCAAATAATGGCAGCATGGTCATAATACCCTCAATAATGGCAGCATGGTCATAATGCCCTCAATAATGGCAGCATGGTCATAATGCCCTCAATAATGGCAGCATGGTCATAATACCATCAAATAATGGCAGCATGGTCATAATGCCCTCAAAGAATGGCAGCATGGTCATAATGCCCTCAATAATGGCAGCATGGTTATAATGCCCTCAAAGAATGGCAGCATGATCATAATGCCCTCAATAATGACAGCATGGTCATAATACCATCAAATAATGGCAGCATGATAATAATGCCCTCAATAATGGCAGCATGGTTATAATGCCCTCAATAATTGCAGCATGGTCATAATACCTTCAAATAATGGCAGCATGGTTATAATGCCCTCAAAGAATGGCAGCATGGTCATAATGCCCTCAATAATGGCAGCATGGTCATAATACCTTCAATAATGGCAGCATGGTCATAATGCCCTCAAAGAATGGCAGCATGGTCATAATGCCCTCAATAATGGCAGCATGGTCATAATACCATTAAATAATGGCAGCATGGTCATAATGCCCTCAATAATGGCAGCATGGTCATAATGCCCTCAAAGAATAGCAGCATGGTCATAATGCCCTCAATAATGGCAGCATGGTTATAATGCCCTCAAAGAATGGCAGCATGATCATAATGCCCTCAATAATTGCAGCATGGTCATAATGCCCTCAAAGAATGGCAGCAGGGCCATAATGCCCTCAATAATGGCAGCATGGTCATAATGCCCTTATATAATGGCAGCATGGCCATAATGCCGTCAAATGTGGCAGCATGGTCATAATGCATCCCCCCCAGTGTGGCCCGTTACAAAGATCATAATTTAAATAAAAAATATATATAAACACAGCAGAACTGAATGATAACCCCCAGTACTGCCCCCCTTGTCCACGCACCTGTCCCGCAGGCTCCCCTCTGGATGAAGATGACCGGCGGTTGCTGCAGCTCGGTGGCGCGCGCGCTTACGCTCTTCAGCTCGCAGATGTTGCGGTAGGAGACGCCGTCGCTGCCACACACGGGCTCCCCGCTGGGGCACGTGCACACGCCTACGCCGCCGGGCCGCGCGCGTCGCCGCACCGTGGCCGTGGTGGGTCGCGCGCCCTCGGGCAGCGAGCACGAGAGGCCCTCGGCGCAGTCGCGCGCGCTCGCGCACGGCTCGCCCTCGCCGGACGCGCACACGGGGCAGCAGGAGCAGCGGTCCAGCGTGTCCCCGGCCAGGCACTCCGCGGGCACGGGCGGGCACGCGGACTTATCGCAGCGATCCGGGCAGAGCCGAACCGCGGACAGCGCGGGGCTCAGACACAGCAGCGCGCACGCGGCCAACACCAGCATCGTCATCCTGCTCCGCTCCCAGGAACTCCAAACAGCTGCTAAAAAAACAAAAAACAACCTAAAAAGCGCGCGACGACTGTAAATACGTGAGCAGTGGATGCTCGCGCTCGCTCGCGTAGACGCTCGAGACCCGGTGCCTCAGTCCGGTCCTCGCTGCTCAGCGCTTTAAAGAGAGCACGCCTCGCGCACAGGAGCAATGTAAACAAGCGAGGTGATTGGCTATGACCTGAAGGGGCGGGGTGATGCGCGAGGGTAAATACGAGACCCCGCCTCTAGCTCAGAGACGCTTTTCATAACGCAAGATTTCTGAATTAGCGAAATTACCTGAAGGGGAACACCACCGATTTTTCAAAAAATTCTACATAAACAATAAAATGTTTAAGATGCAAACAGAGTCGTTCAGAGCGGTTTGGTGTGAAATGCTCTGTTCTAGAGAAACCTACAGAGTCAGAACTGTTCACAGTGGTGGTGATAGGAACCAGACGTCCACCTCTAAAAAGCTCCCTCACAGAAAGTTACTACATGAAATGGTTATGAATTCACTGCCTGATGTCTGAGACACTGTTTTAAGATACTTTTGAGAGAATGTTTTGGCTTTAAATGTATATTTGGCGGGTGGCACGGTGGCACAGTGGGTAGCGCTGTCGCCTCACAGCAAGAAGTGCCTGGGTTCGATTCCCGGCCGGGCGGCCAGGGTCATTTCTGTGTGGAGTTTGCATGTTCTCCCCGTGTCTGCGTGGGTTTCCTCCCACAGTCCAAAGACATGCAGTCAGGCCAATTGGAAATGCTGAATTGCCCCTAGGTGTGAATGTGTGTGTGATTGTATATGTATGTCTGTCTGTCTGCCCTGCGATGGACTGGCGTCCAGGGTGTATCCTGCCTTCCGCCCAATGACAGCTGGGATAGGCTCCAGCACCCCACCGCGACCCAGAAGGATAAGCGGTTTAGATGATGTATGTATGTATATTTGGCAGAGGAGTACATGCAGAGTGTTTATTTTTTCAGATTTTTCCAACATTTTATCATCATCAACATTTCATATAAAACTCAGAAGATGTGTAGGTTCACTGGTGGTCTTGGATAGTAAATAAAATGGCTATATTTGTGTTGTAGTCATGGTGACCCCTGGTTCCATTCACCACCACTGTAAAGAAATCTGAGTCTCTACAATCAACCATTTCACACCAAACCACTCTGAATGACTCTGTTTACAACTCAAAGGTTGAATTATGTAGAATGTTTGAAATTTTGGTGGAATTCCCCTTCATGTTTTCCAGCTCACTGAGAAATCCTGCTTCGTAAAATACTTCCAGAGCTGGATAAAAACGTTTAACACTCAGTCCTGGCTGAACCCTGATGACCACACGCTTACGTCTGAGATTTATTTGGATCAGGTATGTTAGATTAGGCCTGGGATTAAAGTCTGCAGGGTGATTAGTCAGGTAGACTGATGATCTGGATTAGGTGCGCTCAGTTAGGGCTGGAACTGAGCTCCTCAGGTAGGTAGAGCTCCAGGAAGATGTGTAGTGGTTAAATGAGTACTGGTCTAAATGTTAGCATGGGTCAGAAGGCTCTAGCATTAGACTAAATAGTCTAGTTGTTCTAGTCTGTGTTTAACAGCTCCCGCATGTGTATTTTAAGACATGCAGGTTAAGGCTCTAGCATGTCTATTGTAAGACAGCATGCAGGTTAAGGTTCTAGCATGTGTCTACAGGCTCTAGCATGTGACTAGCTGGTGTCTAAGGTTCTAGCATGCACATAACAGCTCTGGCATGTATATTTTAAGACAGCATGCAAGTTCCAGCATGTGACAGACTAGCTGGTGTCTAAGGTTCTAGTATGCATTTACCAACTCTTGCATGTATATTTTAAGACAGCATGCAGGTTAAGGTTCTAGCATGTGACTACAGGCTCTAGCATGTGACTAGCTTGTTTCAGGTTCTAGCATGTGTTTAACAGCTCTAGCAGGTATAGTTTAAGACAGCATACAGGTTAAGGTTCTAGCATGTATATTTTAAGATAGGATGCAGGTTAAGGTTCTAGCATGTGACTACAGGCTCTAGCATGTGACTAGCTTGTGTCTAAGGTTCTAGCATGCATTTAACAGCTCTAGCTTGTATATTTTATGATAACATGCAGTTTAAGGTTTTAGCATGTGTCTAGAGGCTCTAGCATGTGACTAGCTTGTTTCAGGTTCTAGCATGTGTTTAACAGCTCTAGCAGGTATAGTTTAAGAGAGCATACAAGTTAAGGTTCTAGCATGTACATTTTAAGATAGGATGCAGGTTAAGGTTCTAGCATGTGACTACAGGCTCTAGCATGTGACTAGCTTGGGTCTAAGGCTCTAGTATTTGTTTAATGGCTCTAGCATGTATATTGTCAAGATAACGTGCTGTTTCAAGTTCTAGCATGTGGCTAAAGAGTCTATAACATGCGCCTAAGGTTCTAGCATGTGGCTACATGTTAGGATCTGCCCAAGAATAAATAATCAATATCTTGTGTCTAAGGTTCTAACATATGTTTAACAGCTCTAACGTGTCTATTTGAGATAGCATGCAGTTTAATGTTCTAGCATGCGTCTACAGTTTCTATCATTTGATAAAGACTTGGTGATCAGCATAACAGCTTCCATTGCTGCTGACCAGTATACCAGCATCCAAAACACAACGTATGCTGTTTTTCTAGCAGGGAAATGTTAGGTTCTAGCATGTGGCTAAAGGATCTATCATTTCTGTCTAAGGTTCTAGCATGTGTTTAACAGCTCTAACGTATATTTTTAGATAGCATACAGTTTAAGGTTATAGCCTATTGCTAAATGTTATGCTTGAGCATGTCAAAGGTTATTGCACATTCAAAGGCTCTAGCATGTGGGTTCTAAGTTTACATACAGCCCACATTATTCCTCTATATCACATTTTCCAGATCAGTGCTGAATTGCATTGTGAGATCATTATTGTTCAATAGTTACATGTGGTGTCAGTGTCAGTCTGAATGTGGCCCAAGGCGATTCCATTCAAATCATTGATTGTTCCAGTGACTTTCAGAACCTCAAAACGTTTTAGGCCCACACCACTGTATAATTATATAAGACTGATTCCAGCAGTGTGATGTTACACAAGGGGACTGGACTGGGAAGCTAGAAGCTCCACGGTGTAGCTTAGCAAAAGTACTCCAGAGGGTCCAGTCCTGTCACAGGCCTAGTTGGACTGACCCTAGCACTTTAGGTCCTCCCTATAGTTGAGGACCCAAAGTGCTAGTGAACTGCACTCAGTTACTAAGAGGGTGCCCAGCCAGCAGTGTCCAGCAGAGATCATTAGACAGACTCTACAGAACTACAGCCATATTTACATGTACATGATTAGAGCCTAAGTTGCCTAAGACCAGTAGTACACACAGGTGTCAGTGTCTAGAACCTTTACGCCTCATATTCCCAGTGTTCTGAAGTGTATTGTTTAACTGAAACACATATTGAAAAGTTCTAGCATAAAAACATATAATCAACAAGACCAATTTATCCAGTTTTGTTTTTCTTTACTATGATAGGCTATATTCCTCTGCCATTTATACTAATTACTAATTTCCTGCACTCTGAGCACATCACTTAGGCAAGTAAGTCTAATAAAACAAACACACACACACACACACACACATTACCTAAACCGCTTATCCTTCTGGGTCGCCGAGGGTGCTTGAGCCCATTCCAGCATTTGTCGGGCAGAAGGCAGTAAACACCTTGGACAGGCCGCCAGTCCATCGCATGGCAGACAAACAGACATGTACAATCACACACACATTCACACCTAGGAGCAATTTATTATGTCCAATCGACCTGACTGTATATCTTCGGACTGTGGGAGGAGACCAGAGCACCCGGAGAAAACTCATGCAGAGACGGGGAGAACACCCAAACTCCCACAGAAAGAACCATAGTCACCCGGCCGGGGAATCGAACCCAGGTCTGATAAAACGTAAAGTAAGAAATAAATCTACACACAGCAAAACAAATTGTATTGAGGTTAATCGGCCAAAGATTATGGGGAAAGCTGTATTAGACAACCTGTATACCTCCAAAATTGTGGAAAGAACCCATATTTTATATGGGCATAAACAATATTGCTTGACTGTTATGAGCGCAAACAGGTAAAACAGAGGTGAAATGTCCGCTCCCACACTCCTAACTTCACAATTAACAACTGATAAGTCCAAATCTAACTGAACTGTTATGGTTTGGCTTCATTTTCAGCTTCATTCCTGGGATTTATTTCATCTTTTTGGGGTCAGTTGATCCAACTTGTTGTCATTGATAGTGACCTACGCATTTATATTAACTTGAAGAAGTAATTTTTTTTTTAAATATAAGATTGGGGGTGTGCCTGTTGTGAAAGAAATTTGGTCAATCTTGAGTAGAAGGTACAAAAGTAGACTCTGTTGCTCATAATTGTTTTAGCTAGCATTAATATTATAGTAATATTATAGTGCTAGTTGATGATGATTTGCAGATTAGACAGATAGAATTGGTCAACCTCTTTGGCAGTCTTGCCAGGGTGTGTGTTTTGCAGCTTGGCATAATTTAGTCCACACTTCACTTATAAAACAACAAAATTGTCCCTAACTGTGTGTAGGTTTATGCATCGTCATGCTCTACATGCTCACGTTCAAATATGGCCCATGAGTTTAGCATGTACAGCAGTACAGACTCACTTATTGGCTCATTTTTTCCCTTATATTTTCCCTCCATCACATGCAGGGAAGTAAGTGCTGAGTTTGAGTGTATTGTGAGCTTGAACTAAACCAAAATGAGGACTGCAGGCCTCATGAACTGGGTTGAGAAACCTCTGGCTTGACAGACGGTGACTAAAACTGGGATGAGGAATAGAGATCCTGAGCCAAGGTCACAGTTCTCTCTCTGATTCTTCATGAATTCAGCACATGAATTATTAGCACTGGAACGAAATAGTGAAACTGGAAGGAGACACTAGCTATCCTCCTACATTCCCAAGCGTAGCCTCCACCACAAGTGGAGTGAATCGTTTTGAACAGCCTGTAGAAATCCAATAATCTTACAGCAATACTCCTACCAAAATCTACTCAATCAGCCAAGACGTTTGGTGTCTGAACTTCTTT